TATATATATATAGAAAGCCAAATTTCTTCATGGATTCACATAAGTAGTACTTATAATAAATGAATTTTTCATATTTAAAGTACCTTTTATTGGCGTGGAGCATTGCTCTTTCTGGAGGGACATAGTGTTCCAAGTTAAGGCTCTAAGTCATAAGAAAACATAAAGGAAACATAAATGTTACAAATTATGTGAGCACTTACAAGCTACTCGTAACTCAGCTTGGTAAGAACTCGTTCACGTTCATTTGATTAACTAATTGAGCAAGCTTTAACACTTTTATAAATGCTCGATTGTTATATAAACAATCTTCAACATTTCATTTGATTGGTTTGTCATCATGAATTATATAATTTAATCTTCAACATTTCGTTTGATTGGTTTGTCATCATGAATTATATAATTTAAAACTTCCAAACAATTAGTTAAGAAGCTCGATAAATAATTTCATTTAAAATTCATAAATAATTTTGATTTAATGTTTATTAATAAAATTGGATAAAGCTTAATTTAAGCTTTATTGGTAAGCACAGTTACAGCTTAATTTAAAATTTATGTATGGTAAATTAAATTAATTTTTAAATTTTTAGTACATAAAACAAGACAAAAACTTAATTGTTGATTATTCATTTATTTTACGCATTTATATCCTTAATTTAATTATTTATTTAATAAATCATTTATTTAAAAGCTTTTTTATATTTGTAAGTTAAACAAATAACTCATTTATAAAATTGATAAAATTTATAACTCATTTGATAAAACCCTAAAGTTCAACCATAATACTAATTTTAATTTGTTAGGTTGAAATTATTTGGATATAAATTAAATAGCTCAAAAGTTTACTCATCAATCTGCTCGAGAATGACTCAATTATCATCACATGAAATGAATAAGAACCGAGTTAAAACATAAACTAAGTTTAAACATAAACACAAAACTCATTAGGGCTCGAGCTCGGCTTGAGCTCCAATTTTAAACAATCTCAAGCTTGAAAGTAGATCCATAAGCTCGACTTAAGCTCGAGCTCAACTCGAGCTCTAATTTTATAAACAAACTCAAGCTTGAACACAACCCCGTTCGACTTGGCTCACTTCGTCTACAACCCTAAACATAACATCATATCCTAAGTAAAGCTTGCTACGTTCAAATAGAGCTTGAAATCATCCAAAAAAAAATAATAAATCTAAGAAATCTAAACTATAGTTTGAAATAATTTTAAAAAATTTTGGGAGCTAATGTATCACAAACTGTACCATACACATTTCCTTCCGAATCAATTCGGAAAGAATTAAATAAGCCACAAACAGACAAAACTGCACATCAGCAGAGAAGCTAACGCCAACATTAATTGCAAAGGAAACCATCTTGTTGAGATCCCTGAACCTTGGAAGCCATGACAATCTTCAATCTCTCCATAAACTTGGGGTTGGATTTAAGACGATCCTTGACATAAGCATTTCTGGCCTTCTCCACCAATTTATCTGCTTTTGCTGCATCTTCAATCAATGCATAGAGTGTTCTAAGGCAGTCCTTCCTATTTTCTTCACGATGTTCAAATCTTTTAATCACAAGGCCAGAAATAATAAAACTGTATCAGTACAAGCTTTCCTACGTCATGGAATTGATCCACAACAGAAAATAAAGCACAAAATGTATAGTGATCATAGTTTAGCATAAATTATAACAAGCCTTACATAAGTTATCTTAAGAAGTATACATCCTGTTCCTAGAATCAGAAAATGGCTAAAGCAAAGCAAAATATAACTGAATTTGTTGATTTTTACTTTTTCATATTGAAAATTAATCAAAATTTATGAGGAACTTATCAAATGATTCATAAGTTCCTGCATTTGAATACATTCATTAATTTTAAGCTTGTTCTCATCTCTAGCTCTTCTCTTTGTTCTTTGTACCCTTGTCCCTTAGAGTAGCTGCCAAAACGCAAGTCTAGGATGGGTGGCAGCGACTTCCAAAATTAGTTGACCACAATGTGAAAGGCGTGAGATGACAAAAATATCACATTTTATCATTTTGTCCATCAACATATTGCACTGGTGACGTTGCAGCACATGAGAACTTCGAGTTATTTGAAATAGGAGGGCTTGGTTATTTTCTTGACCGTACCAAGAAAATTGTACATTCTGGATTTTCAAACCATCTAATTAGCAGATCTTTCATTCAGTGACCTTTGATTTAGGCCCCTTTTCACAATGTTGCTTTATAATGTGAAATTTGCTATTGTGTTATTCTATCAACTCGAGCGTTGAGTATTTGGTGATAATGTTAAGACTATCTCGTAAAGCGCTCTTAACAATTTATATCTATATTACACAACCAAAAATGGATTTGGCACTCCAACAACAACAACAAGCCTTTATCTCACAAAATGGGGCCAAAAACATGAATCATTTTTCTTCATTTGTCCTATTGAGTGTCATATTTTTATTTTATTCCAAAAAATTAAAATCATTTTTATACAACATACTCCAGGCTTTTTAGGTCTACCTCTACCTTCCTAAACATAAAGTCAAATCTAAAACATCTGCTCTTCCAGCATGGTCATTAGATGGCCGACGTTTAATGTGACCAAACCATCTAAGTCGACTCTCTCTAATCTTGTCTACCATTGGAGGTACTCAAACCTTTTTGTAGAAATATTCATTTGGCATTTTGTCTCTAAGTGTAAAGCCCGTAGAAATATTCATTTGGCATTTTGTCTCTAAGTGCAAAGCCACTCATCCACCTAAGCATTCTCATCTCAGCAACACTTAACTTTGTTTTATGCTTCTCTTTTAAAGGTCAACATTTTGCATCATAGAACATTGCAAGTCTCACCACCATCTTAAGAAATTTTTTCTTTCAGTCTAAGCAATACTTTTCTATCACACAATAGGCCCAATGCATTCCTCCACTTCAACCACCTTTATCCCATTTCGCATTTTGTCTTTATCACACAAAAGTCTTATTAATTTAACTAAACTAAAAAACCACTTCTTTGAATGACTTGATCATTCATTATTACAACCCTACTGCTAGATCTACTATTACTAAAATTACATTACCATGTATTAAGTTTTAGATTTACCCAAATGAAAGCATTTAGTTCAAGTTTTTCCTGAGCTCTCTCTCTCTAGTCTTATCCACAAGAAGAATATCATTAACAAAAAGCATACACCAAGGTATATCCTCTTGAAAATATCTAGTAAGAGCATCAATAACTGAAGCAAAAAGATATGGACTTAAAAGCTGGTCCTTGATGTAATCCAACTGAAGTAGGAAAATACTTGGTCAATCATCCTTGTGTCCGAACGAGTAACAACTATAGTATACATATCTTTAATAACTTGAATATAAGCTATATGAACACCTTTCTTATCTAGAACCCTCCAAAATACTTCTCTTGGAACCTTATCATAAACAAATTATAAATCAACAAATATAATATATAGATCCTCCTGACTCTATATATTTCTCCATCAAAACTTCAATAAATGTATAGCGTCTATAGTAGACTTACCCGAAATTCTAACTAAATGAAATCATATTCATTTATTTTAAACCTTAACCATTCAATTTTTTAGATCCTATTAAATAAAAAAATTATATAAATTTTGATGATGAGAAATTATCATCAACATTTTAATTTTATGTTTCATCTAAAACGCCACTTATTTGCATGACTTGATCATTCATTATTACAACTCTACTGCTAGATCTACTATTATTAAAAATACATTACCATGTATTAAGTTTTAGATTTACCCAAATGAAAGCTTTTAGTTCAAGTTTTTCCTTAGCTCTCTCTCTCTAGTCTTATCCACAAGAAGAATATCATTAACAAAAAGCATACACCAAGGTAAATCCTCTTGTAAATGTCCAATAAAATTGAAAATATCTAGTAAGAGCATCAATAACTGAAGCAAAAAGATATGGACTTAAAGCTGGTCCTTGATGTAATCCAACTGAAGTAGGAAAATAGTTAGTCAATCATCCTTGTGTCCGAATGAGTAACAGCTATAGTATACATTTCTTTAATAACTTAAATATAAGCAATATGAACACCTTTCTTATCTAGAACCCTCCAAAATACTTCTCTTGGAACCTTATCATAAACAAATTATAAATCAACAAATATAATATATAGATCCTCCTGACTCTATATATTTCTCCATCAAAACTTCAATAAATGTATAGCTTTTATAGTAGACTTGCCCGACATTCTAATCAAATGAAATTATATTCATTTATTTTAAACCTGAACCATTCAATTTTTTTAGATCATATTAAATAAAAAAACTATATATTTTTTGATAATGAGAAATTATCATCAACATTTTAATTTTATGTTTTGCCAGTTCATTTATAAGTTTGTTTCAATAATGATTAAATTAATCTACAATACAAAAAAAGTAATAACATGACACAAATTTAATTATTATTATTAATATTTTCTTTTTCACTGTCTTATATATATATAACACTGCCGTTGCCGGTCCCAAGCCCGGATGAGAAAAGTGGAGGGTTGCGTTAGGTAGTCGACAGCCAGCGTAAAACTTGTCGAAAAAATCATGACATGAATCCTTTTGATCATTGTGTAAGTGCTAGGGCGTCCCCTGGAAGCGACGCGCTGTATAGCCTGAATACAGTGAAAAGTGTGCAAGGGCCGCTACACCGGCGCCCGGGTGTAGTGTTAAATAAGCAAGGGTTCCCACATTACGGGCGAATGCGGGTAAAGAAGTTAGTCCATGAAACTAATGAAACTAATATTAGGATAGGATCTTGGAATATAAGCACTCTCAATGGTAAATTAATGGAATTAGTTGATATTATGATTCATAGAAAAATTAATATCTTATGTATTCAAGAAACTAAGTGGGTGGGAGAAAAGGCTAAGGAGATTGATAATTTAGGTTTTAAACTTTGGTATTCTGGTAAGAGTCGCACTAGAAATGGTGTAGGTGTAATTATAGATAAGAGTTTGAAAGATAATGTTGTAAAAATTAATAGAGTTGGTGATAGAATTATAGCCCTTAAGATTATCATTGATACTAAGATTTTTAATATTATAAGTGTTTATGCTCCTCAAGTAGGTTTAGATACAGAGTCTAAAGATAAATTTTGGAATGACTTAGAAGACTTAATACAAATGATACCTCTTGAAGAAAGAATTTTTATTGGAGGAGATTTAAATGGACATGTCGGTAGAGTGGTAGAAGATTTCAGAAATATTCATGGTGGCTACGGTTTTGGAGTAACTAATGAAGAAGGTAAAGTTATTTTAGATTTTGCTTTAGCGTTTGATTTTGTTATTACTAATACTTTATTCAAGAAAAGGGATGAACATCTTATTACTTATAAGAGTGGATCTAATAAAACACAAATTGATTATTTTCTTATGAGAAGAAGAGATCGTCGTGATTGTAATGATTGTAAAGTCATTCCAAGTGAAAATTTAAATACCCAACATCGTTTATTAGTTTTAGATTTTAAGATTAAGAGTTGTAAAATAAAAAATACTAGGACTCATCATTGCAGAATTAGATGGAGAAACTTAAAAGATAAAAATAAAATTAATTTTATGAGTAAAATTCAAGATTTCAAAATTTGGGATATTCATGAAGAAGCAAATGTGATGTGGGATAAAGTAACAAACGCTATTAAACATGTAGCAAAAGATGTTCTTGGAGAATCAAAGGGAAAAATATTTACAAATAAAAATAGTTGGTGGTGGAATAATAATGTGCAAGAAAAGATAAAATATAAGAAGTTATGTTATAAAAATTGGTTAAAATGTAAAAGCTTAAAGAACTGGAGAAAATATCAAACGGCTCGCAGGGAGTCTAAAAGAACAATCTGTGATGCTAAAAATTCTGCTTTTAATGATCTTTATAATAGATTAGATACTAAGGAGGGTGAAAAATATATGTATAAACTAGCCAAACAAAGAGAAAAGAAAAGTAAAGATTTAACTCAAGTAAAGTGTATTAAA